AAAAGAAAGAAAACCTCAATATTGGAGTCAGCACAGGTAAGTTTCACTTTTAGTTCAGTTTTAAATAGAAGGGTTTACGCAAATATGCACGTGTATCTAAAGCACTGATCATACAACTGGATAAATGAGGCTTTGATTATACCGCATGAGCTGTGTGAGAGTTTGTAAACTGATATTTTGACAGTTATTCTGTTGTTAAAAGTGGTTCCCAATCAATCAATAAATCAATATGTTTTCCATTTTCTGTGTTTCCTCACGAATTCAAGTTAACACAACATGAGTAACTGATTTACAAATGGTCACTTTGTGGGTGAAATATTCCTTTAAACAGACAAAAATAGTAAACTATAACTATACTCAAAAAGCAGATAATGCATAAAGTAAAGTGAAAACAGACTGTCCATACCTATGAAATATTCATAAAAGCATAAAAGTTTATTTTCTTGGTATAGTCCAGCACTCTGTCATATCAGTTATACACAAATGTACTTTTGATTATGGCATATTTTTCAGTAGTAAGCTCTATGTCTGCTTTTTTGGGGTATTCTGATTCTCATCCACTTTCCCCCAAACATGTTACTAGTTGATAAGAGAATCTGCTCATTAATTCCACTGTGTGCACTGACGTTTTTGTGTAACTTTCCTTGTCATTTGCTGTGAGGGGTGGACAAAGTTGTAAATATTTAACTGCGACTGAAGTGCTGCTGGTTAAATTTTACTCAGGTCAGAGCACTTGTAAAGAAAATATAGTACATCAGGTGAAGGTAAAGAAATTGGCCACAAGTGTGTCCCTTGAGCCATCCACTAGGTGGACACAAATCACCATCAATGGTTCAGATGGAAAGACAATGAGTAAACTGTATAGTGCTTTTGAAGACCTGCAGCAGGCATGTACACTGTTATTTCAAGGTTCACTGACAAAGATCTCACCAATGCCAGTATCATAACTAGAAACAGTGGCAGCAGTGGTCTGTGACAGTATTTAAGCTGACAGCACATGGTCTCAACTGTACAACAGGACAGACATAGTCACTGCTGAGGTTGATTATACAGTGTCATATTTTTTATATCCCTCTCATTCACTTTATAGATCATTAAAAAATGCATTAAACTTCCTCTGTCAGTGCCTCTCTACTCACATATTGCCAAGGCACACCATCATGAAAATGAGTGTGTGTATGCCATCTAGTGACAGGATATTGTACTGACTGACACAAAATACCTTTCATATGTAGATCCATAAACAGTATCAAACTACACTATATAGATAGACTTGTATTGAATTAATTGTTAAACAAGCTTTTTCCAGCAAGTGTTACAATTAAGTAACACGATATACAACTGGTAATTTTGTTTGTATTGTTGTTAGAATAAAACAAAAAATAATCAATCTCAAACAGTTTTAATAAGATTTAACCCAAACTAAACTGCGCTATGTTGTGCCCGCTCTCCTCTATATAAGTGCTGATATACAGTATAACAGCACCGGGACTTTTAACTATGCATGTATCACTCCGCCTTACAGGTGTTCTGAACCGTTAATCACGTTAACCGTCAATGAGCCTGCATTTTGGGTCGTTGTAACAGACTTTGTACCGCAAAGAGGAATATGTTTCCACAAATACAGCCTAAATTTTTAATTTATATCATGAACGGTCGTCAGAAACAGACGAAGAGAAGGAAAGGCCGGGACACTTCACTGCAAATCTCCAGGTAAGGTCATATGACATCAGAAGCCGACGTAACTTGCGTCTGATTAAGCTGTTAACACATCAAAGTCACAGCTACGCCACCAAAGTGACTGTCAACTGTCTCTTTACTGGTCGCACAATATATAAAGAATACAGATAAATGTTAATTATAATAAAGTAATTAGCCTTCAGTAAACTATCAAGCTAGCATGGAGGAATTTTTATGTAGCTTTCAACAGTTCACTCCCAGTGCAATTACATAACTATTTGTGTTGGCGGAGCAAAATAATTAATAAACAAACAAATCATATCTTTTGTTGCTTTTTATCCTTAATAGTCCAGGTGATATATGTGCCAAATTTAAGGTGTTTCGCCCACTTTTTCATAAAAGCATAAAACTTGGTGCAAAGTTTGGGGACCTGGACATTTTCAGAATTGGTGCCATTGCAAAAATATTGTGTTTTGGCCATGGCGGCCATTTTACTTTCCGCCATAACCGAATAATGTATTTTTCATCATATCTCCTGAACCAAACATGCCAACACAGAATAGGTGGTGTCCACCCTCATGTTTTAATAGTCAAAGGTTACAATGATACTCTATACAACATCATTAACTGATTATGTGAATAGTTAAGGGTGACTTCAGTGATGCCAGAGGGATATCACTGCATCTAATGATGCCTTAGTGGGCGGGGCTGCAGCTATGAACACCTGTGGAATCTGCCCGGTCTCTCTCTTGGCTTCCCATTCCCGGCTTGACCCTGCAGCTCACCTGTTGTCCCTTTTCATTTTAGCTTGCATCCAACACACACACACAGCCATGCACCCGCAGTCACTGCTGACATTCCACATTACAGATATAGATTGTTGTATTTTGTTAGCCTTAGTTTCTGTTGACTACGTTTGTTAAATAAATATCCCTTGCAGTTGCATTCCCTCTTGCGTTTGTTTGTCAGAGAATTGAGCCAGCTCTGACAATAGTATACTACATAGAAGTATACTAACGGAAGTATGTGGTTTGAGACACACTGTTTAGGTTAGACTTAATAATATAATGTATGTTGCAACCTTTCTTGCAGCCACAGCTTAAGAGTTCAAGTTCAAAAAAAGTGAGCATCATTTTCAAATATCACCTGGACTATAACTAATAAATGGTGCTTTTAGAACTGTTGCATAAAAACAATGTCACACTCAAGGTGATTATCTTTGGCATCCGTCCTGCGGCCTTGTGCCTTCGACCGAATAGCACAGCCATGCTGATATTCAGTACAACAGCACTCCCTCTCATGTGATATTGCTTAACGGCTATGGCGAGTGCATATTGCAGATATTAGACCAAGTATGAGAAGCGGTACGTTGGCACAGCACATTGCATTTTATTTAATAACACCAAAACCTCATTTTGTTCTTAACTTGCATGATTTTCCTTTTCAAAGGTCCAGTGTGTAAGATTTAGGGGGATATAGTGACAGAACTGGAATACAATTTTTTTAGTGTATAATCACCTGAAAAGAAGAATTGCTGTGTTTTTGTTACTTGAACGAGAATGAGCTGTTTATATCTACACAGGGAGTGGGTCCTCGTCCAGAGAGTCGGCATGCTTACCACCGTGGCAACTCAGAATGGACAAACCAAACACTGGCTATAGGTAAGGCCACTAGCGTTTTTGTTTCAGCCACCATAGTTAGCAGCTCCTTTGCAACAAGCAACATAAAAAAACGATGATTTTTTTTTTTAACATGAAACTATTCAATTCAGTGTTTTTACCGGTTTGAATCACCAGGTCCATTTGCATTGGAGGGGAGGAGACCTCTGTGGATCATTTGACTCCCGTTCAAAACCTCGTGAATGTTTGGATCCGAAAAAAGGTGAGCACACATTAATTTATCAGAGGAAAAGGTGAGTATTAGCAGGTGCTGGACTAGTGGTATGTCCTTAACAGCATTGGAGAAACACTGACTTGTAACGTGAAACTTCAGTGTATTCTCATACAACGGTTGGTATGATATCCTATGAATTATTGCCCCACAAATGGCATTAGGCTCCATCCTTAATGTTAAATTATTTAATCAATGTAAAGTTACGGAGGTTAGGTTAAGGCAAGAAAAGTCACTGCATATAGGTTTAGGGGAACAGAAACATGGTGACGATGTACCTTAAAAATCAAAGTCCTCTCAATAGTAATATTATATAATATTAATAGTAATACAAAGTTAAAACGGTTCCTAACACCGGTCTTCGGTCCTGAAAGGTCCTGTGTTTTGTGACCTATCCACAGCCCCAACCTGCCTACTTACCGGACAGCTCTGGACCGCCTCTCTCTTTACTCCTGTCAGCGCATTGGTTATGTGATCACAGCTCTCCAAAACATGTGGGTTATGTACGAATAACTAGCTCATGATTTCATGAGATATGTATGAATTTTGATGCATTACTTTTTGTAGGAAAAAGTACAAATGGTGCACGAGAACAGCCTGAACAAAGAACACTGAAGGTATTCCAACCGGGAGAAGTTTTAGCTGATTGCAGTCTGCAGTACTCACCACTAGATGCCACTTAATCCCCCTTTAATCCTTAAACATATGTTGCCTAATTGTTGGGGGTAACTGTTCATTTATAGCTACTGCTTCTCCTTAATTGTTGTACATGTGATGATAAAGAACGTGAAATATGATATCTGAAAATCAAGTTGCTCCAAACCTCATGACAACACTGATGAAAACGACACACATCAAAGCTCTAGCTGTAGGTTTACGCCTGGTTTCTATTACATCTACTTAAATTCAGCTCATTTTCCACATTTTTTGAATAATTTTGTGTATTCTCAGTAAATGTAGACGTAAAATGCTTGCTGCAAAAGCCACCAGGTCAACAAGGTACTCAATGTGGTTTCGGGAAGGGGCAGGATTAATTTTTTTTTTTTTTTTCATGTTTTTTTAATCATCTGTCTCTCAAAACTGCAGGGTAGTATTGCTCACTGACAATAAATAAAAACTAAATAGTGTAGCATGATGCAGTCAAATGAGGACACCATTTAAAAAACAGAAAATTTACTGTAAAACAAACGGCTGTTGTGTGGTGTGAAATAACTGGAGTCTGAATTGGCATCTTAATTTGTATTTAAGAGCACAAGAGGTTACAGTGAATTAAAATGAATATAAATAAAGTCATAAATATCATAACAACAAATTACTCGTATATTAAATCATGTGCAATATAAAGTTGGTAGCTCACTGATCTGTAATTTTCTTTATTGCTACCATGGAAAACCATTGTAATTAAAACAAAATCTTGCGGCCTGTAGCCTTCATCTTGGGTCGATGTTCCCAACCTCTGGACGTTTTGTTGTGGCCTGGAAAGATACAAGAATGATCACATATTTCTATCAACATTTTAACTACAGTCTTACATTTACCTGTCCTTGTAGTCCAGAAGACTTCCATACGTCATACCTGCATTCGGGTGTCAACATTTTTTAGATGTGGCCTGAAACCTTCAGATGTGTAAGTGCCTGCAAACCCCAAGTTGTGATCTCCTGGGAAAAAAAAGAATGTGATAATGTTAAAACTGCAGGTGTTACAGCCCTTGCTGAAAAATTGTTTACATTTTTTCTTTTTTAAGAAGAGATCAGTTACAGACAAGTACACACCTGTATCAGAGAAGTCAAAGAAATCTTCCTCAAAAGCAGACAGTCTTCTGTCATAGGGGTTACTTCTTTTCCTACAGTAAAGAGACAGTTTCATCAGTGTCACATGGCAGTGTTTGTAACTTAATTATTACAGGCAACAAGAAAGAACATTTGTTGAAAATGTGCATATTAGTGTATAGGAAGATGCATTTCAGGCATCAAAACCCACCAAGAGCCAGTATATCTCTTTTTAACAATGACGGCAATGACGATGATAATGAAGAGCAGTAGGGCTCCTGCCAATGATCCAAACAGTGCACCCCAAAAACCTGGACCTCGACGGAAGAGTTCACACTGTGGGCCATGAAACTGCTCAAGGCTAGAGCTGAAGCACCTGGATTGAAGGGCCACAAGAGGGAATTACATTAAAGGGAAATATCACCTGAATTAAGAATTACAGTATGTTATTTCCATGGCTGAGGGAAGTTCAATCAATATTCATGAACATGAGCTACTCTCTCTCAAAGCCGGAAACCGAAGAAGTAAGTCTGAAACTTGTGATGTCATCAAGTATTAAGTCTGGAGCTGCTCCATAGATAATGCATTTTTTCATACCGAAATGAGCTTTATTCTACTGTAGTGTTCTCAGTTGTAAAACAGAAAATAATGACCCCATATACTCAAAATATTTCCCTGGGTGCTCTCAGTGTCGTCTATAACATCTATCCAAATTCATTGTTTATGGAGCAGCTCCATACTTTATTCTTGATCATCACAAATTTGAGTTTTAGCTCTTTATTTTTTGGATTTGGGAGACAGGTGATCATGTTTACTTACTTTTTTGAACTGATGTAGAGCACAGGAATAACATATGAATTTTAAAAAATGGGCGTAGGTCCCCTTTTAATAAAATTAACTCTTCAAGCACCTTGCAATAAGGATAAAACAGATACTCACTGACAGACTGGCCCTTTCTTGATGTCATTGTGACATTCTCCGTGTTGATGACAGTAATCGGGGCTTGTTTTGCAGGGTCCAGCACACTGCCACTGTCCATTAACAATTTCAGCAGTGTAATTAGCAAACTCCGAGCAGTTTATAAAAGGCTTCAGATCTGTGATATCTGGTTGACAGCAAAAAAGAAGTATAAATCATTTTGTACAAGTATAAGAAAACAAATTCAGAATTGTTGACATACATATACAGATCAGCTGAAACATTAAAACCACCGACAGGTGAAGTGAATAACATTGATCATCTTTACAATGCAATGCTCTGTTGGGAAACTTTGGGTCCTGGCATTCATGTGGATGCCACCTGACACACACCACCCACTCAAACGCTCTTTGGGCTCTTTGTCTTGTTCTTTGGGGCATTCCTGAACAGTTTTTGTTGTGTGGCATGGGGGCCCACTGCCATCAGGGAGTGCCTTTGTCATGAGGGGGGTGTACTTGGTCTGTAACCATGTGTGGGTAGGTGGTTAATGTCAAGTAGCATCCACATGACTGCCAGGACCCAAAGTTTTCCAGCAGAACATTACACTGTAATGAGATAATCGATGTTGTTTACTCCACCCGCCAGTGGTTTCAATGTTTTTGCTCATCGGTGTCCATTGAATGAACAAACACTGACTGTGCAAAGAAATAAGCCAATTCTACATGTTTAGAGCTGACACTTACTTTTAATCTCAGGTTTCTGGAAAGTGAGTCCATTTAACAGCACCTTTGAATTATTAAAGGCCTGAGAAATCTTCTTGAGGTTACTTGTATTATTCAAGATATCAGTCAACACCCCATCAAGCTTATTGTTCACAAACTGGATTTGTGTTTCATTGTTTGGATAAATGTACTCTGCCTGGCTCTCTGCAACAACACTTCCTGGTCTGCAGTAGAAAAATAAAAAGATATTACCAAAAGAAAACAGCTTGTACTTGATTAAAAAGAGTAATTTAAATAATTATATGAGGAAATTATAATGAACACCTACGACAACTTGATGACTTTAACTTTTTCAAAGGTTTGTGGATCTGCTTCTCTGCACAGGGCTTCAAGCTACAACACATGAGAGATGGTATTACAGCAAGGTTATAACAGTACATCATTTTTTGGATATTAAAGGCACATTGTGTAGGAATTTCTCCCATCTAACATTGAAATCATATATTGCATTCAAACGGAAAGCGCACTCTAGCGCCTCACTGTTTCAGACGCGTATTGCACCAACAGTAGCCGCTGTGTACCAAAAAGCTATGATAACATTGATGAAACCATGTCATCCGATACTACTTAATGGAGTATTCATTCAGGCTCCTACACAGACACACGTGACGTGAGTTGACAAACCCCCTCCTCACCATGCTGGCTGTATTTACAACGTAGGACTGTTGGGGTGGGTGTAAATCGAAACAAACCAATCACATCCTGTCTTTTGACAACTGACAAGTGGCTCAACCTCACACACCTCATCCCTCTCCTGGTGTCACTGCGCCGCTAACAGCTGTTAGCGGCCAGCATTGGGGTAGCCTTTCCCAGGTGGAGAGAGCTGCTGAAGGAGAAAGATAATGCAATCACAGCTAACAGCGGTGCTGGCCGCTAACAGCTGTTAGTGCTGTTAGCGCCTCTTGCTCCGCTCCTTTGGCTTCTCAGTCACGCAGCGCTGGCCTGGCTCTCAACGAAAATGCTGAAGGCGGGCTGTATGTCCCTTGCTGGCAGATGTATTCTCAAGATGGTGAAACATTATGGAACCCCCCGACTTACCGACGACTTACCCACACAATGTCCAAACAAATCCAAAATTCTCCTTTTATGAGAATAAGTCAGATTATTGGTGGAGGAAATAATACACCAATGATGACATATTTATGAATGCAGACATCAATTTTTGCCAATAAACAACTGAAAATGTTACACAACATCCCTTTAACATCAAAAACCGTATCTGTTCAAAGTATAGCATTCATAGTATGTTATTGTAATTATTGCCCAGTAAAAAATAACAAGGTATAAAACATGATTAAACACTTGTAAATACTATATATTACTAATCATTTAAGTTATGCAACATGAAAAAAAAACATATTTACCTCCTTTTCTAATGTGTTGATGAAGGCTAATGACTGAGGTGAGTTTAGATTGTTAAAGGCCACCTGAAAAGTGACGCTGATTTTCATGGTAATGTTTGCTTTGTGAGTTGGTATTGCTCCCGAATCTGCAAGAAATGATGACATTACAAAAACATTATAGACATTTTATAAATATTTCTACATTGAACACTGAGGTTAGGAATATATCAGTGCCAAAATCAAACATATTAAATTCAAACACATAACTGATATCTTATAAATGATCTCTGAATTCATTTATTGTCTTCAGTTGACAGAATATTTTGAAGAACTGTATCTCGATATGAAAAACCTCACCAACATGAGCAGGGGTGTCATTCTTTCCAAAAGAGCACTTGTCTCCAAGGAGAAAATCAAAACAGTTGCACTGACATTTTCCAAGTGTTGAGTTGAATATGCAAGTACCCCGAGTACAGTTAGTTTTACAGTCCTCACACTGAGGAGTTGTAGATGATGGCACAGTGACAGTAGTACTTGAAGAGGTAATAATGGTAGATGTTGATCGACTGACTGTTGTTGATTTGGTTGTGCTGGTGATTTTCGCTGATGTCAGAGATTTAGTTGTTGCTGTGGGTGTTGTCTTTGTAGCAGATGTTGATTGTTGTTCTGTTGACGAGGACATGATTGTTGTAGATGTTCCCTGGCTAGTCAGTGGGAGATGAGTTGAGGAAGGTAATTCAGTACTTGATGTGGGTTTTATTGTTGTAGGAGATGTAGGTTGTTGTGTTGTCGATGAGGACATCATTGTCATAGATGTTTCCTGGCTAGTCATTGAGAGATGAGTTGTGCTGGTTGTTGCCGGTGTTGTTTCAGTTTCGTGTTTAGTTGATGTCTGAGTGGAGTGAGTAGTATTTGTAGGCAATGTGGGTGGTGCACTTGATGAGACCTCTGTTTTTGTGGTGGGATTGATTGTTGTTGTGGAATGTTTAGTTCTGGTAGTCTCTGTGTTGCCATTTGTGGTGAGAGTTGAGGCTGAGGAAGGTAATTCAGTACTTGATGTGGGTTTTATTGTCGGAGGAGATGTAGGTTGTTGCGTTGTCGATGAGGACATCATTGTCGTAGATGTTTCCTGGCTAGTCATTGAGAGATGAGTTGTGCTGGTTGTTGCCGGTGTTGTTTCAGTTTCGTGTTTAGTTGATGTC